AAGGAAAAAACAACTAGAGACTTTGAAAATAGAAAATAACTTTTAAAAAGGTGCTTTGGCAGTACTGTGTTGAACTGTTTGACCTGGACAAAATATATTTATCATACCTACCCAGTTCTCTTTCTCCCTAAGTTCAAACTCTTCACAGCACTCCATATACTAAAATCTAGTGACTTATAGATTTGAATTTGAGTTTTGAATAGTCATATAACACAGTGATGTCATCATCATTTTATAAGAAGTTCATCTTTATGCCTAATTATATATACTTAACTTTAGTTTATCACAAATTATATTTCTATTTGATACATTCTGTTTAGTATCATTGAAGAGTTACCTCTTTCAATGAATACAAATAATGTTTCTGAAGACTAAGACGGGTGGAAAGACAAAAAGACAGACATAGAGGACAGAGTTGTGCTGACATTTGTGATGCTTTTTCAAATGAACTCTCTTGTAGAATACTATAAAAGCTCTACATAAAAACACACAAACAGAAACTTCAAAGTTTTCAAAAAGTAAACAAAACAAGGTACAATTAGCAAGTACAAGTACATTTTTTTAAAAAAAGTTGCTTAACAGAAATGATCTCATTAGAAGAACACACAGAAAAATGACTGAACTAAAATGAATAGAACCTCAGCAACTGGTATGTGTCTACCATACATGCAACTGTACAAGGAAAGGATAGGGATATTTTGGTAGTAAAACTGATTTAATAATAAGGGTCTAAAACTTCTCCAGTATAGTAAAAAATATTGCCTTACAAATCCAAGAAGCTTGGTTATTGTTACTGGTCTTAAATATCAGGATTAAGCCCCTGCTACCCGAATCTTAAACACCCAAGAAACACAGAGGCAAGGATGGAAAGCAAGTTTTATTTTAAGAAAGGGACAGAGGCACAGACTTCTCCAGAGAAGGGAGATCAGAGCCGGGTGCCCACAGGACATGGTTTGTCTTGCTTTTTTATAGACCCCAGAACCCCAGATCTTCTCTTTCTTATCAGTGTATATGCGTAGGGCAGGAAGAAGCAGCACAGTGGTAATCCTTTATGAAGAGAAATGCAATTCCCCAGAAGTGATAGCAACTCCTTGAGCTGGTATTCACCACAATAGAAGAGATACCAGAAGACAACAAATGAAGTTTCAGTTGTTTGTCAGGGTAAAGTAGGCTGGCAGAAGAAATCATTTGTTTGTTCTTGCCTCTTAGTGTTATGTTAGTTTAGATTATACTGTGTTTGATAATACAAGTCAACATCAATGAGGACAGTGATCATAGTTAGCAGAGAATAAAGAAGAAAACTAATACAAAATGAAATTTGACAATGTAAAGGTGATTACAGTTCAGAGTAAATTTACGAAATCCTTTTTATTCAATCTATAAGAAAACTGTATACATCTTTAAAAGTTTTAGTTTAATTTCACAAAACATTTGCCATAAAACATAATTCCAAACTTTATAATGCTAAACCTTATAGTGAATAATACTTATGTTTATCAGCTCATATACTAAAAATATATTTTTTAAAAAAATTCACTTATAAGAATGAAGTCCAGTTCAATTCTCTACCTGGTAGGGGGTTAGAGCTAGGGTTGAACTGACAGATTAATTTTCCAACCTCCATCAGAGTTAACTCTCAAAATAAGATTAGAAATGAATTATTAAAAATGAAGAAAATGATATCTGATTTAACTCCTGCCAGCTTTTCTTTCTGTGGACAAAATTCCATTCTCCATAAATTTTACCCAGTGGTGGGGATTATGTAAATGGAGAAGTCTAATTTGCATTGGAAATCATTCTGCCTACATTTTGATTTAAACTGAATTCCTTACACTACTCTCTAGTAGTCAGATTGGATCTCCCGTTTCCTGTCCAGAATGATCCCTAAAGTCACTATACTCTGTTAATTGGTTACTTCTCCAATGCCATGTCAAGTTCTCCATTAAATCACTCATATTGACTCGAGATCTCAGCATGTCTTGCAAATATACCTTCCTGAATCTTGAAACTAAAATTGTACTTTGTAACTTAATATTAAATGAAGACTGAAGAATTTATTTTCTGGAAAATTACTGTTTCCTACACCAAACTATTAATTGAAAGCAAGTGTCAGAAACTACATATACATAGCTTGAACATTTTAATGTTTCCTTGAAGTGCTAAACAATTATATTTTTAAAATAGTTTGTCAATAAATCTTATGAAGTTACAAAATTAGACTAAATCACTTTAAAATGAATGCATTAAAATATAACATTAATATATAACATTCTTATGCCTGTAGGTTCCTGAAAGTTTTTCAAGAAATCAATAATAATAAATTTAAAATATTAATGTCAAAGCCAAATAAATACATAATTTATATTTTTTATAATATTGTTTTATGCACACTTTTGTTTGAGGCTTTAAGTCCAAGAATTATGCTGAAAGTATCCTTAATACAGTTACTAGACTGTTTATTTGGGTCCTCATTCTGTTTTTCTCGGGGTAGCACCAGATTATGCTAATGGTATATAAAAAAGAATTTCCAAATTATTAATTCTCCCCAAATATCCATTTACTATTTGGCCTGAATATTTTAACCAAATGCTATTATTCATAGTTGTATTGAAATAAACAAGGATGGCTTTTAATAGATTAGAACTTTGTACTTTAAATTCTACCATGGTTTTCTCTAGGGGTATGAATATACATAATACACAGAAAACTTTTTAACATGAGGATAATCTGGAAAATGAATTGTGATAGTTTACCTCTTTTTCCAATTCCTTTTAAATACAAAGTATACTTTAACTCTCATTTAGATACATTTTGTAGGACTTCAAAGACCTAAGAAGCCACAAAGAACTTATTCCTTTGTATTTCTGATGGTAAGAAAAGGACACTGATCATTCTGCCCTGATGAGCACACATCAAGCTGGAATTTGTGAGTTAGCTCTATGTTATATGGGACAGAAAAATTGAGGCTGCACATTCTGAGTTTTTAGTGAGTTATCTGCAATAGAGGTTTGATCATTGATTGTATAAATAAGAGGTCACAAAACTATAACTCTGAGCCAGATGAAACACGCCACCTATTTTTGTAATAGAGGTTAAATTGAAATAGAAATGTTCACTCATTTGCATACTCTATAGCTGTTTTCATATTTCAACAGCATAGTTGAGTTACTGAGATATAGACCATGTATTGAACAAAGTTTAAAATATTTATGATATGGCCTCCACAGGAAAAAAAAAAAAGTTTGCTCTCCCTGGGTATAAACATACAACTATTTACATATTTGTGTCCAAATGGGTATTTCTTATTTTTAAATAAATACTTACATGTAACAAATCCAGAAGATTATCATTTACCTTTTTAATAAAAATAAGTTTTAAATTTGTTTTCCCAGAATGTTGATGATGAAGAAATTATTTGACCTTCAACTATGTCACTATTAATGATGCACATCATTAGGTAAAGGGTATTTGTGATATCACTGTCTCTATAAAAGCCAAAAAATGCATATTAGCAGAAGAATCATTATAACATGTATTTTAAATGTTGATAATTATATTAGAAGATTGGTTCTTGATGATGCATGAGGTTCAGAGGCAGAGTGATTCTTACAAATCTCTTCATGAAACATGTCTTATCATTTAGATCAAATGACTGACCCAGAAATATTTTCCTTAGAACTATTTTCCTATTATTCAAAAATAGTTAATTCCAACAATAGTTTGATTTTTCCTTCAATGTGTTGAATTAAAGTGAAATTTTATAAGTTTCTCATGTTGAAGGCAAGACTTCTGGGAGAATTGAGAATGCAATTATGAATTCAGTAAAAATGCTAAAAAAATAAATGATTTGTTCACACAGTGAAATTATGCACACACAAATTTTGTTTTGAATATTATGATATAACCTTTTTTAACAAATTGAGGAAAGTATTGAGCAGACAAAATTCACATTTTGATCCAAATTAGATCTGACATTTGCATCATTTGAATAAAAACTATAGTTGCAAAATTTACCAATGTTAAATATACACACAGTAATGGTACTTTGTGAAAAGCTATTACTGGGGGGAAAATCCACCATGCAGAGTGTACTTTTTTTCCTGCTGTCAATCAATATTTGGATATCAGAAATATTTAGGCCTCTGAAGAGTAATTTTAATAGTGACTCCAATGGTGAGAGAAGGGTTTTCACATTTTAATAGCAAAGTCCTCCAAATTTTGGTTGCATTTACTTCATATCTCCATCAACTCAGTCAAGTGGAAAGGTATGCAAAAGAAACAGGCAGAAATATCACTATTCTCTGGAATTTGGAAGAAATGGATTTTTTTTTTTAATGCGTACTAAAGGAGTTGTTAGGTTTCTAATGATCAATGGAGATACCACAGTCTATGGACATCTTGAAGGGGGACAGATAAGTATTTTCAAGAAAACAGGAAGCCAAAGAGTTCAAAGATTAGACAGAATGATTTAAAGACATTTTCCTTGGTGAAACATTTAACCAACAGCTAAGAATCTATTAGCTTAAAAAATGATATCATCTCATTACTTTAAATTAATTTGAGAAGGAATTTTTACAAATTTGCTTAAAAAAAAAGAAAAAAGAGATTTAGAATGGTGTTATCTAAGGAAATAATGTAGATGTAATTATGCTATGTATTTGCAAAATGTGCGCAATTTCTAAAAATATTTTAGTAGTTAGAAAGAAAATATACCTTGTCACGATAAAAAAAAAAGATGTAGGAACTGATGTCCAAGTTCCCTTTATATTTTTGAAAGCTTACCAGTAGAATCACCTGATTGTATTCACAAAATTGACTTATAAAATTTATTCATGAATAATAATAAGTCACCGTATATAACCTCTAACATTTATTTTTTTTCAATAATAAATAATACATTCAAATTTAATTTGAAATAATTAAGACAAAATTAATTTTTGTGTCTATGTATATGAACATAAAAATATATATGAACATATACATATGTTTGCATTTCTTACCTGTAAATTGTTCATCACATTCACAAATGAAACTATTAGCTGTAACGTTGCTGAAGGTTCCGTGGATACAAATATGTGGTTGACATTGACCAAATATTTCTGAACAATTTCTACCTATAAAAATGAAAACAAAATTTCAACAACAATATATGCATTGCATCTAAATAGCTGATTATGGCCATCAGTTTTCCTTAAATTTTTTTGAGACTAATACAAAAATTTAGGTAAAATAGAATTTAAATTATAAAATAATGTTACATGATGATGTATTTAAATTGAAACAAAAATTAACTTGGATATTTGATATTTTTTTTCATGTTTTGATTTCATCCTGTAATATTCAGTTATTTTCAAATTGTTGATATTTAAGCTTTAATTTCTGTGATAATTCAAATTTTTTATCACATTTTGATGGTATATATCATTCTAATATATAAATATTAATATCTACTGGTACCATTGGAGTGGTAATTTAGAAGGTTTAAATGTGTATTGTGTACTTTACCACCTAAAATAGGAAAGGATTCAAAAGGAGAAAAAGCAGTCTGGATTCTCAGAAGCTGTGTAAAAATACATCTTACACTTTATTTTCTTTGTTGTATAAAATTTTCTAAATCCCACTTACCCATATTCTTGTGGTTCCTTTCTATCATACACCTCAGTCATACCAGGCTATTTGTTCTATACATATTTAATCATCTTATCTTCAAATAATGTTTAATGAAATCCTAAGGTAGGGCCGGTGTACGATTGTTGCTATAAGACAGTTGCACACAATGTGCCAATATACCTGCCTTCTACTCACTTACTTGAGTTCTAATTTAATTTGTTCTTGTCTTTTAAATTCCTCATATATTGAGATCTCTGGTTTAGTAATGTAAAATTCTTTCTTCGTTCACATCAAAACAACCCTCAATACAATAGAAATATAAATATAATTGTATACCAAAATGTTATCTAAAGTCTTAACATCCAATATATCTGAGTGTGAATGCATTTGATGTTGACTGAGTATTTGCAGAAGTAAAGAAGTTTCGGATGAGGTTGTTAGAAGCTAGCAAGTTGTCACATGCCTATAATCCCAGTGACTCTGGAATCTGAGCCAGGAGAAATACAAGTTGAAGGCCAGTCTTAGAAACTTAGCAAAAGCTTTTCTCAAAACAAAATTAAAAAAAAAAAAAACACCAAGACTATAACTTAACTTTGTGGAAAATTTTCCCTGAGTTCAATCTCTAGTTAAAAAAAAAAATGGTTATTAGGATGGGTCTTAATCAATTTGACTGGTGTCAATTGACTAGTATCCTTACAAGAAGTGGAAATTTGAAAATTTGGACACAGACATGTACAGGGGAAAATCAATGTGAAGATATTGTGAGAAGATAGCAATTTACAAACCAAGGAGAGGAACCTCACATGCCAAACCCTTGATCTTGGACCTCTATTGTCCAGGACAGTGAGGAAATTTCTATTGCTTAAGCCAACCAAACTTTTTTTTTTTTTTTTTGTGGCAGTCAGGGCAAACAAATAAAGTGAACACTCTGAATTTCTTTGGTAATTATACATATGTTGGTGTCTTGATATAAAAATAAGTAAGATTTACATATGGTACATGGTAAAAAATCTGTGGTCAAGTTTTCTTTAAAACTCTTTGGACAGGTTAAAATGTATGCTTTAGAAATTCTCAATTAACACCTTTTTATTCACTCAAAGCATTTTGTTGAGTGCTATCACTTTTTGTATAACTTGCCTAATTTTAATATCTGATCTACAACAGCATGAGTTATTGGTATCATCAATGTGAATAGAGTCAAATAACAGTTTGATGACAGTTATGGAAAAATATTCAGTGGAGAGTTTTAGAATTAACTTCTGAAGTGGTGTTTGTTTTTCCCTACCATGGACTATAAAATTACTCTGTGCAAGATTGGCTTAGGTGAGTGCTAAAGCCAATAATGTCTTGTCAAAGTCTTCAATGAAATCTTCAAGCCTAGCTCCAGTAGAATAATCACCAGGCACATGGGAGAAGACCATTGTGAAGTTCTCTAAATGTGCCCAACACAATATGGTGTTTCCAGATATGGTCCACTCCAGATATATCTGCTTCTCAACCTCCTTCCTCTTTAATGACCAAAGTATACTACCAATCAGTTGTTTTCCATTATTATTATTATTAGTAGTAGTAGTAGTAGTAGTATTAGTATTGCTCTGGTTAATCATCCTGGTCTTAATCTTTTCTCTTATAATTTCCAGTGTCAGATCTGTGGAATTCATGTCAAAAGAATTCTCTCAAAGTCCCTACAGTCTAGATATTCCCTATATTTTTTCAATCTTTCTCGTCATTTTCTTCTAATGACCTAAATTTTCCTCTTAAATTCTCTGGTGGACATTCTTAATATTCCCTTTAACCCTTGCTTCAGCCTTAGGTAACAGAATTTACAAAATTCTTAAATTGCCATTCCTGTGGCTTCATCACCCACCAAATTTTCCTTGTCTTTGTCTCTCATTAATCTGGCTAAAACTGATCATTAACATATTATCCTTTTACCAATATTGTCACTCCTTTTACTTTATAGATGCCACACTGATATTTATTACAAACATTTCTCTTGGATCATAATTATTTTTTCTTCTCCAACTCTACCAAGCATCTCCAAAGCTTTCCCCCATTCACATAGTTTCTTAACTTTCTCTATCAAGATACATTCTTTATTTCCTTATTATCACCTAGAATTACTTAATGAAATACCATAAGCTTGGAAACTTTATTCAGTGACTAAAAAGTTTTCTATTATTATGATCCAATTATTTTTAATGTATGAAACATTAATAGTAGATGTGGAAAATATATGAAAGATACTTAAGGATAATCACATATGTTTCTAAGAAAGTTTTCAATATGAAAAAGCCTATTTTAAAGAATGTCTGATGGATTTTTAAATGTACAGAATGCAAATATATTACATTTTATGGAATCTACATTTTTTAAAAAATAGCTTTTTTAACAGTTTATGAATTCAGTTTATTTTTACATTTTAATACAATGTGTAATTAAAAACAAAGAGTTCTTACCTGTAAATGGTGGGTGACAGATACATTCGTAGTCTTCTTTACCCCGTTTTTCTCTTTTATTAATGCAACTTCCATTATTCTTGCATGGTCCAAAATAACATGTATCATATTCTTGGCAGTACTTTCCATAAAATGGAGTCTGGCAATGGCAGCTATATGTCTTCTTCCAAACTTCACTAAGACATTTACCTTGCCCAGAGCAAAATTCTGAACTTAGAGATTCCTGGCAGAACTGTTGTTTGACCGTCACATTCAGTTGAAGTCCCAATTCACAAAGTGAAGGACCACTTGCCATTACTGTGATAAAATAATGTGTGCCAACACTCAGCCACTGTGGATTAACCGTGTGTATCCCTTTTAGTTTGCAACCAAAAAGTAACTGATCTTCAGCTGTGGTATTTTGTACACAGTCAATGAAAGATGCTTCAGAAACATTCATCAGATTTATCTTGGAAAATTGAAGAGACGGATCAGAAGAAATTACAAGGATGTCTCCTAATTGAATCTGCAAAGGGCAAATCTGGGGAACAACTTGATTGAGTAAAATATTCATTTTAGTGTTTACACCCCAAACCGAGCAATCTCTGTAGAAGTCAGTGCAGATGTTGTCTGTCAGTGTCCAATTCACAACATATGTTGAGGGTTGTGGATGCCATCCTTGAACCAACTGCCATTTACATGTTATTTTTCCATTTGTAAAAGAGCTATGGAGAACTACCAGGATCAGAATGATGATTGACTTGTTAGTCATTTTTTGTACAATTGTATTTTACAGTCTCTCATGAAAATGTCAGGAGGAATTGCTGTGAAATGGTCTTATTTAATTATTGCTGGATATTTACAGATAGAGATATTGTTCACAAATTCCTGGGGTTGACTTTTTTTTTGTCTGTTCCTTTTACATTTGATGGCAGGGGAATTTGATAAAGAAACAGGAGAGTTCGTGTTTTAAATATCCCTTAAAACATAAAAAAAAACACATTGTTAGAGAAGTTTTTACTCTATAAATTACTTAATGATATAGAAAATATTTAGATGATTTCTTAGGTCAAATAAGAACTGGCATAGCAAAGACAATGTCACTAATAGGTATGGACCTCTTGGGGAAAAAAGGCCAGTCAGCAACACCCGGCTAAAATATATTAATCTGGGCCAATCTTATGTAACCACCTACTTTTGAAAAGTTTTACATCATGGCATAATTAAAGCAGCAAATCACAGCAGTCTTTGTAAGTTGTCTTTATACCAATCTTAAATTTCACTGACATAGAGCAATAGCCAAGGCTCTTTATGAATGCTTTCAATTATCTACATATAAATATTCCTTTTCTAATTGGTTTAAGTATACCACCTTAAAACATAAAGTAATCATAAAGATAATTTAAGTATAACTTTATATAATATTTTCATATAAACTCAAGTTTAAATGGCTGTTGTTGAAAATCATGTTGTTTTTAATTTGTAAACTATAGGATGGGATTCCCACATAAAGGACTCATAGAAAATGCATTGTATAAACCACCAATCTTCCCCCAGCATGTTTGGAATGACAGAGAGATGGCAGTCAAATAGGGAAGAAGAAGTGTAAAATGGAATAGTAAAAGCATGTTTACAAATCGAAGTAATATTGAAATAGCATTTATTTCATCCTGCATACCTACACTGAAAGTGCAGGTAAGAGCATCAGTTTTGTATAGAGGTCACCATTGCTTCAAGAGGGCAAGAAAACAAGCAAGGATTCTGAGAGCTAATATAGTAAGACACTTTTTTAAGTGATTACCTATTATTGAGGGGTCACTCTGTGCAAATCACACTTACTAGTCAGTTAGCAAATAAACTACAATATTTATAACCAAAACCAAAATTTGAGTAGAACTTTAAATAAGTATAATGGGAATATCCGTTCCTTGGATTTTAGTTATGTAGCTTATTTACTCTATGTTGTTAGGCAACATATGCTTTAAATCCATTCACTTTTCTATAACTACATGGAGGACAGTACACCTGTATAATAAGGTAATAGTGAAGGTTAAATTGCACTATGTAAGCAAGAGTCATTTCATAAAGGACTATTGTTTGCTTTTCATATAGACAGCCAATTTTAATTAGCAACTATCTTTGATTAAAATTTATAATTATCAGATATCAAATTGCAACATTTAATCTGTACCATGAATAGCAATAGAATGCTAAAATAAATTACATATAACATTTTAAAATTAATGTATTAATTTGTATAAAATATTTGGTAGTCCACTATCTTTTTATATATATCTTTACTTTATTTTTATGTGGTGCTGATGATTGAATCCAATGCCTCACGCATGCCAGGTGAGCATGCTACTACTTGAGCTGTATCCCCAGCCCTGGCCATTTCAGATCATGCAGAAATCAAATTTGATATATAAATTACCTCTTTCAATTTCATTTCTTCATGTCACAAACCTATAAAATATGTTATTGTGAGTAGTATATAATACTACTAAATATCTGGAAAAGTTAAAATATATAATTTTCATAGAACTAACTGTTAAGCATAATCAAATCCATTTCATATATGTTAATTATCAGAAAATTTTGTATAAATTACCAATCACAGTAAAAGTTTAAAGAAGTACATTACACAAATATATTCTGGACCAATCTATATCAAAATAGTATGCTAGATCCTACAAATTTATCAACTATCAGTTGGAAGAATGTACCAAAGTATAGAACTAAGAACTTAACGAAGACATTATTTGTCATTGACATTAAATCCATTCTATCAAATATGGTCTAAATTCAGATGATGAAATGGAATCATGTTGGAAAGCTGGAGTATTCCAGAAGAAAACATTTATCAAAACATGTTGAGGGGAATGTGATAATAGATGCCTTTAAGGAAGAAAAGTAGACCATGTAAGTGCAGAGGGAAGCAGAATCATGATGAAAAACAAACTCTTGATTCAGAGTATAGTAAGAAGAACAGACATTGTCAATAAAGGAGATTGTCATCCTTGCACAGGGGCCTTGCTAATCTTCTCTGTATTGTTCCAACATTACATTTCCTAATAAAGTCATAGACTATAAAATTCTGAGATAATTAATGTTAAGATAAAAATTTTATAAAAAGGAAATAGTATCTTCTCTGAAGGAAAGGGTGAGCCTTTTGAAGATTTAGATAGGGATTAACAAAGAAAGACTTTTATTTTGATGACATCAATCTAATTGCAGAGTAAGGAACATATTGGAGAGTATAATTAGAGGAGTTGAGACACTGATGGAGCAAATAATAGCACAGATCTAATAAAATGATAATGATGACTAACTAGAACAGTAGCAGCAGAAACAGACCAATGCTGGTGAAGTTCAGAAATGCTACAAAGGTAGAATCACATGGTCTTGAACACTGTGACCTAAGAAAAGTTAAACTCAGAAGCACCAGGTAGAGAAACAAGATGGCAAAGAAAAAAGAGATGTCCAAATCCACATACTTGATTTGAGGTATGCCTCATTGATTTTCTAATACAAGCTTTCAGAAATCAATTGTTAATACATATGTGAGTATAGGAGATAAAACTAGGCTGGAATTATGAACCTGATCATATTAATTACATTTTTATTTCCATGTGTATATAAAGTTGATGGAGGGTTAAGTTGAAAAAACTTGAGTTTAAATCATAAAAAGGAAGCACATAAAAAGATATAAAGCAGTATATCTAAAGCAGAAGAAAATAATAATGAATATAGAGCAGGAGGAAAGAAGAAGATAATTTTCAAATACTAATATTGTGACAGGTGGCAGAAAGTTGAGGAACTTACGTTAGGGGATATTCTATTTATGAAACAGAAAAAGATTCGGGGTGATGGTCATTCTGTATTTAAAAAGAGGACAATGGACAAGAGTGTGTTGAAATAAACAATGAGGAAAACATAAGAATGTTAGAGAAAAATCAAAGAACCACTAGGTAATTTTGAAACACTTTATGGCTGTAAATGTCAAATTTACAGTAGTATCAACCTGCCTGCACAGGTGCATTATTTTCCCAGTAGCATAGTTTAAAAAAAAAAAAAAAACAATAAAAATAAGTTGCAAATGGGTTCAAACACAAACAGTTACCAATTTAATTCCACATGCAAATGCTAGGAAACAAATTACATTTGCATTGAAGCAAAATTAGGTCTGTGTGACATTTTTAGCCTGGCTGCAGATGTGAGCTTGCATTACTGCAGGGCTAATCCTGTGCTTCTCAGAACTCTCTAGGTCCCTAATTATTGTGCATTTATGTCTTTAAAGAGAAAGTGACTTAATGCATTACATTTATGCCTCATGGAAATTTAAATAAATGTAAATAGCAACAAAAAACAACAAAAAATAACCCTTCTATATAAGGTCAGTTTGCATTCATACATACTGAATGCAAAATGCTTTGCATTTCAGTAAGAACAAGAATAATATAAACATCTCACATGAATAAATTTGAATAAGTGCTATAATTTGGACTCTAAAGGTAAGTATAATGGTGAATGACATGGTTTGTTATTTATAAATAATACTCTTCAACCCTGCACAAAGTAGCAAACCAAATGACATTCTGCTCTCTTCCAAACTTACAGACACATTCATTGTGTGGTTGAGAGTTGAAATGAAAAAGCATTTTCATTCTATGTGATATTATCAGTATATCATATAAATTCTTGAGCCAAAAAGCCCAGAAACTGAGGAACTAAAATATAATGGAGTCATTTATACAGGGGTGAGAATTAACAATACTATATGTAATTTAGGTATAACTATACTCAAGGCATAATATTACAAACTGTGGAAGTTTAAAATAAATTTGTATTATTCTGTACAACAGTGGTTATTTCAGTTTTCACCCTAATGTGTGTATAATCTTCAAAATAGTTTTTTTAATTTATATAATATATGTTATGTTTTAAAAACATCTAAAAATGTGAGAATTAGAAATGGAGGGTATAAAATTAACAGATTTATATTGTAAGTTCTAATACTATATGCATATGCTCTAGATGAAGGACAACAGATTTTAAACAAAACACATTTTATTGAAATTATAGGAGGGAAATGAAAATGTGGGTTTTAAATGCCAGTACAGCTAGATATCAGCAGTATAGAGTAAAAATTCTAGCAAGAATTCTGGAAAAAGAAAAAAAATAATAATAAAAATTGAAAGGAAAGCCGAGATGAGCAATGGACATGAGGTAATCAATATACTCAGGAGAATTCAGAGTATGAACATGTTTATTTATGTAGGCAGTACAGCATTGAATTAAGCTAAGGGTTTCTCATGAAAGATGGTAAACTAAAAACCTGGAGAAAAATAATTTTCAGAAGGTGGATGAAAAAAGATATTTCAAACTTACTTTGTATTTTGTTAGAGAAAACAAAAAGGGAAAAAAGTTTCCAAATTTTTTTTACCATGCTGATACTTGCACAGATTATAAAGTTAATTTACTAAATTCAATGATTATAATGCTGCTAACATCTGCAACTGAACTTAATCAGTATTCCCAAAGCTGATATATTTGTATAACATGTTAGGCTTTTAAGGGTTAAGGGACAGGAAAATTAAATGTAGAAAATTCTTTCAACAAAATTTCCATGAAAGAAAAGAGAATATACAGAGAAGTTGACAAAATACAATGGAAATCTCATTTAAGCCATCAATGTCTACGAAAACTTTTTGTTTAAACTCAAGTGTCTATATTGTGTAGCACATTCCTATAAATTATGGTACATTTTTG